CTTGGTTATGACTTCATTTTCCCACATACATTTTTTCCGTACAGAAACAAAAACAAGCGCGCACGCGAAAAACCGTTTCAAGTTAAAAACTAAAAGGTAATTTATTCAAAATAAGCTTAAGTTTGTTTTTGTTTTGTGTTCGCTGGTGTTGGATTATTAATAGCAATGATGCTGCTGTTTTCAGTTTTAACTATGCAATTTTGCAATGCATTTCAATGGCGGCAATGTAATCGCACATCTCATGGGTAAATATTTTAAAAGCAAACACACATCCATATTTAAGCAAAACAAGTTAAAAACTTACTAGCATTATAGCTTACAACTAGTAAAGCCACATGGTTTGAAACCGGCAAACTAAATTTAATTTTTTTAACAGGTGGCAACCCTCTTCTAAAAACATAACCCATACTCTTAATGTCAGCCAGAATTATAGGCGATATAAGTGCCAAATTTTATCTAAATACGCTACGCAATTTCTGAGTGAAGAGAGGTGGCGCTTTTTTATTTTATAAAATTTCAAATCAGCCTGTACCGCTAAAAAAAAATCCTAACTTCAGAAAATAAAGCCGTATTGCACATACAGGCTCAGTTCTTTCGTTCGACACTCGCATTTTAAGATTGCCTTTGACTTGTGGTTAAGTTGAAAAAATTTGACTTTTAAAACCGGTGGCAACCCTCTTCAAAAGTATTTTCAAACTTAAAGAAATGAATTTGGACTGACTTTGTGATACATGTTTCAATTAACTGATGAATTATATTGATTTTATTTTTTTTAACACCTGGCAACTCTAATCGTTCAGATATAAATCATTTGCAACCCCATTTCGATTGGTATCCGTGTTTTAACAAGTTCTTTAGCTTACTAGAAAATTTTAATTCAACACTTTCTAAACAAATAAACAAAATCTAAATGTTCTAACTAAAGATTTCTGACACCCATATTTTATAGTTTTACATAGTTTAGTTTAATCGACTTTTCAGTTAAGTGACATCTAAGGCTAAGTGGGTTCGCTTAGAGCTATGCGAACGCCAGTATTCTAAAAACCTTCGAGTTCCTACCGACTGAAACAGACTGCTGTACGCTGATTTTCGATCCGAAGAGACCTTTCACCACCCATATTTCAGCTAGAGAGTACTGGGATGGGTGCAGTATCTAGAATCGGGATCCTGTAAACGTATTTACGGATGGATCGAAGTTGAATGGGAGGTTGGTTGGATCACCGGAGCAATATAGCATATTCCCAACAACGGTAGCCGCAATACAGGAGGCTTCGGGTTGGTTAATCTTTAGTGTAATGCCTTTCAAAGCTATACCAAGCAGCTATCAAGGCTCTTGGCTCCCTAATGATTCGTTTGAGAACGATGAAAGATTATTTGACCTCCTTATCGACCGCAGCGGAATACTACTCTACTAAGCTCATTTGGGTTCCGGATCATAGCGAAATCGCTGTAAACTTTAAGGCCGGTGAGCTAGCAAGGCAGGGAACCCTTGAAGAAGTACTCCCGTATTGAGCGAAAGTTTGGGTGTTCCCCAGACCTCGTGTGGTCGATTTCTGGACAGATGGGTGTTTGGTTAGCTCAGCGTGCGCTACACGAAGACCTTGGAATGCAGAATAGTTAAATCCTCCTGGCCACGTGTAGATCGGAGACAGTCCAGTGAGCTCTTGAGACTAAGCAAATTACACCTT